TTATTTTGCTAAAGTGTCTAAAAACAACAATTTTACAAGAAGGTTAAAAGTATGGAAACGCAAACTCGATATGTGTAATCTAAGATTGACATCAARCCGGAGCAATGACGCTCTCTTTAGTCTCTCGAGGGCAATCTCTCGAGGGCAGCGAAATTCCTGAAGCTCAGTATAATTTTATTTTTAGAACATCGAGTGATTTCCAAGAATCGCTGTTTGAAAGAATTGCCCCCAAGTAAATGATGGCTAGCTCGTATCCTCATTTGCATATCTAGCAGACCGAAACATAAATGTCAAATCCGCGAAAGGTCGAGTTTCTTTCTTCTTTCGGTCTCCTTAATTTTTCAGTACATAGCAGCATCGTCATCCAACGGAAATAAGCATAACTCTAACTTTACCAATTGGTTAATGGAAGGAAAAAAGAACTATACTTATTTAAACTTTTGTGGATCGTGCGAAGAAACACACATGAACTAGAAATATTTCTTATTCGTACAACTGTATATAGAAATAAAATCGTATTCTTAAAGATAACGAAGTTGGGATGCAATGGATACACGAATCTATGCTATGGCCATATTACAATCTATGAACCTATCCTTAAAACTGATTTTAGTCCGACATATTGTAACTCACATGATCTCAGTGTGTGTTCGTTCTGCTTCCAAGACGATATGGTTTGTCGGTAATGAAAATTTGGCAGTGTTTAAAACTTTTCCTTTTTATTTTCATCAGTGAAAACTTAGGGTAAGCACCAATTTTTGAAAGACTGAGAAAAGTAAACCGTAAACTAAGTAAGCGACAAATTATTATGAGTCAAAATGGGCAGACTTTAGTAATTATATTAACTCTGAAATGGGCCACTGTTAAGAGAAACGCGAAGAAAAATCTAGATTTCTTTTGTTTCATAACGAATGGTTTAGAACAACTGAAATCGAGCGCAACGACAGAACTATCAAGAGATTTTAAAAACTGCACACATAGCGATTTATGTGTCAGGCTGTAGGTAGGATTGGGTTAGAAACATGAATCTGCGGTGAACAGACGTATTAAGAAATAAATATGTCCGACGCGCGCGGAAAAAAATATACTCTCGACCTTTCAAGGTTTAGCTTTTCTTCCAAGAATTATTCAGTGGTCAGGCTGTTTTGGTTTATCCAATGACAAGACAAGTCCGCACAGATCAAATTGAAGCATTTCCAAGAATTTCTTATCATCAAGATACCAGCCAATCACAATGCAACGTGGCAAAATGAAGTAACTGCTTATGTTTTCGACGAAAACACAAAACAACCAAGCATAACCGCATGTATATATAAAAGAAAATCGACACAGAAAGGTGCCTCATGTTTTAAAAACATTTGAAGATCTTCAAAAATGATCTTAAAACCTTTGCCATAAACTAAAATGGCGTGTAATTCTTGTATGTTGGCAACGTGACTCAGTTATTCGAAGTCAAATGATTTACCCTGTCATTCGAGAATCCTTCGTAATAAATATTACACGATCGCTTTAGCGAAAACAGAATTCCCCATTTTCAAACAAAGTCGGAGGTACATAGATTTTACGTAAAAGCCAATCTAGTAGTAGCTTCTTAGTTACCACTTCGCTCACTTCGTCATGACGGATTTGGGCCCGCCTTGTAACTTCGTGAACTGAGTTGTTCGATTCGATGATATTCAATCGTTATATATCGTTATTTTCTCGGTAACACCTACTC